TGACGTGTCTCTTTTTAAGTGCATGATTGATGATGGCCTCATTTTCTTCGACCATCACTGAACATGTTGAATAAACGAGGAATCCTCCCGATTTTGAATGGGCGTTAACGCAATCGATTGCAGCCAACAGGAGCTGCTTCTGCAGAGTCACGCACCGATCGATGTCCCTCTTCTCCTAAAACACATCTGCCTACAAATTTTCATCAGAAGCAAATTAAGGTACAGATTTTTTACAAAAGAGCCGTGAAGGGTGCTAAATGCTCAATGGATCCGACGAAAAAAACTTCAGTCCGCCCACTATTCAAATCAATAAATTCTTTTAATTTTTATGATTTACTGTTTTACCTGCTTGAATTTAACGCACATACATCTTGCGTCCTACACTAGCCAAATCAATGCTTAGTACTCTAGCAGCTTAAGGCGTCAAGATCGGAGTAAAAAAGTGACGAGTTAGAATCCTCACCAAAAACTCATCATTCGTCCTTACAATTTAGAAAAATCAGCAAAAAGCCTTGTAGAAATGAAAAAAATACGTTGTGAGAGACACCTAACTGCAGATGCTACTTTTAGAATACATAACAAAATACATAACACCATAGCATACTATACACAAGAATCGCACCATTAGCTCCATAATAAAGCCAGAAATATACGGCGTGAAGGCCAACTTAAGAACGGATACAAATTTAGGTTTCCCGTTTCCATCACCAATTAATTTTCAGGAGTTGGCATGTAGCCCTCATGTGCTTCTACAGAAACACCTAAAACAGGGATTCCATCACGGACATATTTTAATACGGTAATAACTGTGCAGACGGTCAACAGGATATTACAGCAAATCGACCTATTTTCCCCCAGATACCGAAATTGCATTTGAACAAGTAATGGCTAATTGATTAGTTAGCACCTGGAGTACGTATTTAACTCGCATGCTGTATTTAGTGTCTTGCTGCTTACGCTTCAGGATCAGATACATGCTATGAGCTTCATGAGTAACGTCAAAGATGAAGTGACGAATGCTGGGAAAATTCAAAGCAACTTTTCATCATCATACCAATAAGATACGTAAATGACTGGGAACGGATACGTCTTCCGATTCAATGATTAAAAATACGAAAGGAAAAAACATTTTTATTAACAAAACCCTGACTCTTCGGACGACATTAGTAGGACATCATCAAAGAACAGATACAGATATTACGGCTGTCGATCGACACCGTGTATAAACGAATATATTTATGAAGGGTTCATTTAATATCGCAGCCAACATATACAGAACTTGTAAGGTTGTTTTCGCTCCACTAATATTTCAGCGCCATGGATTCAGTTTAATTGTTATAACAAGAAACAAACAGTCAGAATTTCAAGCAGGTCAAATACCAACTGACTAGCAATTGTATATTTTCAGATGATCACCGATGTTAATCGGCAGCTCGCGTTAACGTTAACGTCGGCTCCGCGTTAAATAAGGAATTTTTCTCGTTTCGCACTGCTAACATCGCTGAATGCTGTTTAAAAAGGCACAATCGCTTAGAATCTCGACATCACGGGACAATAGCCTGCTTATCTGGTACCTAGAACCTAAGGTCGTAAGCATCGACGAAACGATGCTGTTGTAACCATTACAGTCTTGCGTCTTATTTAAAGCAAAGCTACTTTATATGCGATGCCATGAAATACTCTATATTACTATGATTACTAATGCTATAATTATTTGTGTCACGTAACATAACAGCAAGTTCATATGAAACAACCATTTGGAAAAGGTTAGCGAAACATTATTTAGCCATCGCTGTTTACCCCGGTCTTCCTCAAGTAGAAACATTGCTCAATGGTGCAAAAAAATTAACTTAATTAAAGAGATGGACGTGTCCGAGCTCACTGCGGAAAAATCTTAGCTGACCAGTTTTCACAGAGCTGCCACCGGTCACCCAGTTCAATGGGCATTAAGGGCAAACTGATGTTCTGTCCAAGACGTCTGACAAACGTGGACAGTAGCCAAAATCATTCATAAGATGGAAAGGAACACATGCGCCTTCCAGACAGGAAGTCCCAGAGTGCAGCGTAAATTTGACTGTGACGGGGCTACGTCGTGTAACTGAAAGAAATTCGACGGACTTCATCAATAATGGATCTGTATCCAAGAGAATGGAAAAATCTAATTGTAAAACCTCAGCTCATGTGTGCGGATGAGTTAAAAGCGATAGGGAAACTTGTGGCTAGAAACCGCACGAGCGTGAGCATCGAGACTAAGCACTGGTGAATCACGTTAATTACGAAGGATCAGTCAACTGCTGTTGTCGTTTACAGAATTAAGCATAGCATGTTTAAAACTGGCAATTCTGCAAAGAAAGTTCAAACTGACGCAGAAAACTGCTCAAACGTTAAAAACAGCTAAGTTAAATAGTCAATTAAAGTAAGAAAATTCGATTCTAAGCCTATAATAATAAGTTTAAAAGTTGTTTTTTGGTAGAAAGTTAAAACAGACTATCTTAACATAAATAAAACACGCTATCGTTTTAGTTAATAATTGACAAGTTTGATTACAGTTACCGGTGGCATCAAAATGAATGAATGAAATGGATGAAAACAAATCAACTAAAATTAAAGTAGCATAGAATACTTTTGAAAGTTTCACAGATGGATCTTTCGACACTACGCCGGTGCCACTGCATGGAGCATCAAGTAAAACTCGGTCAAATGCTGATCCTTGAATCTAAACAGAGAACAGTCAATACGTTCTCAAATATGGTAATAATTATATAAAGAGAATATGCATGAGCATCACACATCTAAAAGCTGGTTAAGAGAAATAATATAACTGCTCATTCGAAGTTAACTCTTTTTACTTTTATTGCGTCTCAACAAACAGCAATTAATAACATTATATTTTCAAATTTCTTGTCAGTGAAATTCAAACTGTTCACTTTACCTTCTTTAATAGCAATAGAGATTTTCTCCCGCACGTGAACTATTTTATCTTTTAATATATAAACAAAAAAATCAGTAACACGCGTAAAGCAACTGTTTTGTTGAAAACAACGAATTATGTGCTTTCTTGATGCTTCAGCCTTCAGTAAGCAATGTTGCTTTCCATGAACAATCTTGAACCATTTGACTAAGTTGGAGCTGAGTAGCAGAGTCTGCAAAAGCAAATAATCTCTGTTCAAAGTCTATTTTTATCCTCAAGTTCATGTATGATCACGGATTATTACTGAAAAACTGATTCCGGCTACAAGCGGCTGAAATTGACTCTCTGAGAAAAATCGCCCATCTCGACACTGTCCGAAATACAGATATTATATAGCCATGATTTACAACCGCTAATTCCACAGATTCAGAAGTCACTTCTGCGATGATTTGGTGCAGTTAACAAATGCTTTTAGAAAGGAAGGCGAAGCAACTACTACTTGCCTAACCGACCCGTCTACGATTCGGAGGAAGGCCAAGGATTATCAGGGGCAAGTGTCTCGACACAATGTTCTTCACACATTGGTTATCTTCTACCGAAGCTTAGAAGCCGGCACAGGATCAGGATGAAATGCAAGAACCGCTATCTGACGCTAGTGACCTGACAAGCGGCCATTAAAACTGAGCAGTGGAAGTTTATTGTCACATACTAGCAAATATTGCTGAAACATGGCTATTAACACAATATACTAGGAGAGGCTGTCGAGGGATAATCGGACACTCACCTTTCGGTCTCTTTCAAGCATAAACATTTTTCAGGTCATGAACTGAAAGGGAGCAATTCTTCTTCGTCTTCATATCTGTATAAATGAGTCAATTAACAAATTCAGTTTCTCTAATGTGGATTTCAGAGTGTACCAGCTGAGTGATAGAGGGCCTCTACTCAATTTTTATGAATTTAAAGTAATTGGTGACATTTCCGCGTTTCTTAACCCTGCGCCACATCGCATCATGGTATGCGCAGCGTTCGATATGAAAACGAATTTATTCTGATGCCAACGATAACTGACTATCTGCATATAGGCGAAGCCAACTTTCATCATTGGAAGTTCACAATATACTCATTACCTCCATCCATAGCATTTCAATCTGCCTCTCGGTCTCTCAAAGCATGGATTATTCTCGCCGAAAATTATGGTGACACTCAGAATGTTGCTACCTGTTCATGGTTTGCAAGATCTCTATAATTCTCAATCATACAGAAATGCGCTGAGCAAACAGATTACAGCGAGCCATACTAGTCGTACATGAAACTTTGTAGCACAAGACCATATAAATACCTAATGCAAGTCAATGTAAAAATTTTCGTCTCTTCCGAATATAGGTAAATGCTGATATGATTTAAGCTGGATCTATTCTTTTGAAAGTTCTGCAACTGAAATTCTACCAGAAAATCTGCTACAATGGGTCGATTATTTAAATTTAATTTAATTAAAACTAATTTAAGACTTTAATTTAAACTTAGACGGTTGTCATAGTATGCTGATTTTCAGTCAGCAGTCAGGCGTCATGACATATTGTACTGGTAAATTAGAACTGTGTGGTTGGGTCTCATACCAAAATAGAGTTATGTCGCCATTATTCGCAGATGATTATAATGTACCCCAAATCAAATTTACTCTGCAGCATGTCCCTCAAATTATTTATTCACAGGCGACAGAACACTTTATTATATGACACGCGAAAAGCAGTGTTAATTAATCCAAACTGATTGGCAAAC